ATTTAACATTTGCTAATCGATTCTGTTTAAAAATTTAATGACTGGATAAAATTAATTAGATATATATATATCTCATATTTTTTTGTATTTCTTGTGTAGTGTTTAGTATTTAGTATGTAGTATGTAAAATTTTTAGTATTTAGTACTTCTTTAGAATTACAATTTATTTTTATTGTTACTGTATATTATTTACCACTTTTCCTCTTTTCATATTAAAAAAGATAGCACCATCTAAGTAGTATTAAATAATGCAAAAAAAAAATAAACCTTCTATTCATTCAACTATTGTACATATCTATATTTTGATTATTTTGATAATGACAACAGTATATACTGTAATAAGTATTTATAACTGCTCATATAAACATCTTTTATTAGTAAAAATAATAATACCAGGATGTTCTTATTTTTAAAAAAATTACATAAAGGTGTATAGTAATTTAAGCAAAATCACATGAACTATACCCAATTACACACGATGCATGAACTTACACGTATAGCACTAAAATTAGGTCGAAATTTTACTTATACTAAAATAATTGACCTTAACCAAGCTTTTTTTAGATACACAATATTAAATTCGGCTGTAATGCAGTACTGACGCTATCGGTTCTTATTATCGAAATATAGCTAGAAGGTATGGTTGGTTTAAACGGTATATAGTAGGCGACAAAATAATAGTACACCCTATGATTTCCAGTGTTCCTTGATACTAATACAATATATGCACATTTTATATATATATATCTTTTTCTACATTAGAAATTTGACCTATTGACATGAAATTGATTGATGCGACAAATTGGTAGCATATTAAATATGAAAAAGATAAGAGATTTTATTGTTTAATCATGCCAATATTGTTTACGTATCTAATAGCCTGTTATATTAGATATAAAAGATAGAAGAAAACTAAATTTCAATTTTTATCATAAAATAATATACTAAAAATAATATACTAACCTATGAAATATAGAAAATATTTGACTAAACGTTATCTGCAAAACTCAAATTTGATTTTGTGGCACGCTTAACTCATTCATAAAATCAATTGAACCTCAAAGTACAATTGTCTCAACTTTCTAGCCAATAATTTAAGATATTGGGAGAAAATAAGACAAACGAGTACCAGTCGAGCGGTTAACAGGCTAAAGTGATTAATTTCCAAATTTTTAAAAATTTAATGCCAAGACATTCGATTGATGATTATCTTTTTATTTTTGAAATAAATTTTATTCTTCTGTTTCATGGAGTTAATCCATTTGGAAAATAAATGGCTCAATTGATACCACGCGAAGCTAATTTGAAACAGGATCTTTTTTCTCTGAATATTGCTGACAATGGTTTACGAAAAGTTCAGGTTCTTTTAAACGTTCGGGATATTAAATAGATTTTAGTGGCAGTAAATTGATAGCAAACTGATAGCAAGTGGTAGTTAACAAATAAAATTGGAATGGAAAGTTAATCGACAATTTTTTCTGTTTCCTTGCTTGAAGTACTAGACCTACTACGATCGATCAAAACTCCGATTAACTGAGCTATTATGGTTAGCGAAAAAATCCGTGTATAAATCTTAAATGGAATAAGAATATAGACAAACGTAGGAAAATCGAATGTACGTATATTATTAAAAAGCTCGCGAAGTCGAGTGGCGAAAGAGATAGCCAAATTACAAGTATATTCGATTAGTGGATAGACCAGAGTATTTGAATAAAGAATATGCAAAGAGGCAGTCTGAGACTTCTAGCTAGACTGTGGGAACTGTGAACCGTGGGATAAGTATTGGATGAATGAGAATAGTAGGTGTGATCTGTGCGGGGAGGATCGAAGTACTTTAGAGCATCTTATTGAGGACTGCAATTGGAAAGGTGCAATATTAGGATGGAAGATGTGGTAGCAGGTATATATAATACAGAGATTGTGAACTAGTTAGCCAGGGATAGAAAGGAAAAGGAAAGGAACGAGAAAGCGAACGCGAACAACGATGGAGAATGTGCATGGATGGGATGGATGCGTATAAAATAAGAACTGCGAAACAAGTTAAGCTGAAATTAAATAAATGCTACTACTACTAAGAAAGCTTCGAGTTAGTTACTTCGTTATCACGGAAAGGTCTCCCAGTGCAAAGGATTAAGTAGGTACCTTGAGCTACAAACTGAGGATGGTCCTAAGCTTTGGTCACTTGGACCATGTCATTTTGTCATCAATCGGAGCTGTTGCTTGGTATAATTGTCTACGAGAACGCTGTATCGTTGGAACCAGACACTATAGGACACCGTACCAGCATGAATCAACCTTCACGCCCACTGCCTTATTCACCCCCCTCGTACTTGCCACGGTAACCTCAACGTTTCCTATTCGAATCATCCGATGAGTAAAAGTGCAAGCATGAAACTCGCCTGTTCTACATCTTACGTACTCTACATCTTCGTGTTCTTCGTGTTCGCAAATGGGTGTATACGAAGTAAACGGAAAATTGGAACGTCAGAGGGCAGAGTGGCTCTGTTGTAGAAAATAGGAGACCTTATGGAATTAGTTCCTTCTGTGTGTGGATTTTAAGGGGAGGTTGGTTGTACGTGTGTACATAAGTATTTATTTGCTGTTGCACACGGCTATTTACCTGCAATAAATAGCGAAACTCGATTTGATAGATGTATGTAATCTTTACGTGTGCGCTTACATATGTACACACGTGATCTGTTGTGAAGTTGTAGCGATCGATCAAGATCATACAAACACTTGTTAACAACGCCTTAATTCACTTTTCAGGTAATCGAATAATCTTTTTTCGTATTATTTATATGTTTGCATTTGAATTTTTGTATTTTCGTCAATTTTCTTTCTGTGTAATATCGTGTAAGATGGTATATTTATTGGGAACTTGCGCTTTCTATCGTAACCATTGCATTTATGTTTATAACATATCATCTAAATGTATTTTTACTGAATATGTTCGGTTATTAAAAGTATTAGTTTATTTTAATAATTAATTGATATCGTAGTTTTTGATAACTTTCATCTTTTCTCATAATGTCGTATTTTTGATTAATTTTTAATTAATAAGTGATATCGTGACTTCCGTTTTTGTAATTATTTAATTAATAATTAGCATCGTGAGTGTTTTTATTTATGCACCTTTTTAATTAATAATTAATATCGTGGATTCTTTTCTTAACAGTACAGTATTTTTTGATATTTAATGATATGCTTCGAATCCATGTTTCTGATATGTGTGCAGGATAAATGTTTAAAATCTTTAATCACGAATAATTGAGAAAAATGGGCGTCACACGTAAACACCAGATTAGACTACTATAAATCAACTTATCTTTATCACAATTAATAAACTTAATTGTGCATGTCATATCAGTTTAAAATATACGACACATTTAATAAATACAAATCTATAACTTACATATTATTTACATAATACGTGTAAATTTAGAATAGAATTATTTATTTCTTAATATTAAACATGTAAAATTATATTTTACATTATATTAATGTAAAAAGAAAAATAATCTATGTAAGTTATATTTTATCAAATAGATGTATGTTTCTGATTTATCATAAATATTCAAAGTTTTACATATACGCATAAATATAAAATAAATTGTAAATATTTTGTTATTAAGTATATTGTAAAATTTTATTTAATGAAGAATCGTATTTGGGAACATTGTAATATTTATTTACTTATTCGTTAATTAATTTAAATTAATCCTTCGATAAAAAAGTACTTCTAACAATAGTTCCTTTTAATATTTTAAATTGTACGAAATCGGAGGGAAGCAATTTAATGTGGCAATTATCGAAACTCCTCATTGACCATTGTTATACATAGCTACAAAACAAATTACAAGATTTGAATAATTAAATACGAAACGTAAAAAGGGTGATACACATAATATACATGTATATAATTACCTTAATATATAATAGCCTTATTAATCAAATTAAAAAATAAATACATATGTAATAAACAAATTTAATTTAAAAAATGCATAAATTATCGAGAATGTTCATAGTGTATAATTGCAAACATTTTTCAACATTGGTAATATAAAAAAATTTATAGATAAAATATAAAACTATTGTAAATTTAAAAATTATATAGATATTTATGTTATAAATACACCAGAATATTTTCACGTGGAAAAATTGAAAATTCTAAATTTCGTTGATATTGAGTAAAAATGCAAATTTTCTGTTAAATATAGAGGATATAATTTCTAGTTAAATGAATTTATAAATTAGTATTACAAATCGCTGTTGTATATTACAGTATTATAATACTAGTTGTAAAAGATTAAACATACACCATGTATAAAAGCAATATACTACGGAAATTACTTCAGAACTCATAACAGTACTGTCAATGCAAATATATAAAATTATACGAATTAATTTGGAACGCAACTGCGCCAAGATCATATACATATCAGGCAACACCTTAAAATTTCAAAATCTACACATGAAGATTTTAATGCTAATTATAAAATTCTAAAAAAACCGTTATATGTTACGCACAAATATTTATTATGAAATAACCTCTGCAAAGATACATAAATTCATCGTATGTCTTATTTATATATACTTTTCCTTCAACACTTCTCAATCACAGAATCTTATTTAGAAATTTGTCAAAAACAGCATAACAGGAACCGCACCCGAAAATCAGTCATCGATACGAATTTTACAATGAAGCAAAAACCTATTTGTCAGACGGTACAAAAATTAGCAAGACGGAACACCCTCGCAGAAAAAGCTAAAAACATCCATCAAAATTCAACAAACGTGAGGATTTATTTTCAAAAATGAACAACCGATAAATCGCGCTTAGAATATAAAAATGGCTGTTACATACTTGAAAATACACAGTGAGAAAATGTACATAATAATTGCTAAATACCATGCGATCGTTGACAGTTTCATGGCATCATGCGATACCGGGAACGTAACCAATAGGTAAAGTACGAATGCAAGGAAAAAAGACTTACCATTGAAAAAACGCATTGGAGAACGGGACCACGTGTTCAAGCGCGAAATACGAGTAGCAGTGCACCACGAAGATGCACCTCGATGATGCACTCACCCTTGGTCACATGTCCAAATCCTTCACGTCGGGCACCACCTATGCGCGAGATTATTCATTCCCGATCGGGCAGTTTACGGTGTAGACGGTTGGCCTAGCCCGTCGCTTCTGTCCTCTCGCTATATCCTCCTCCTACTCCTACCACTACCTCTTTTTCCTGCTCTTCCTCCTCCTCGTCCTCCTATTCCACCACCTCTGGGTGTGCGCAGTTCCTTTTCCCTTCCGTGGACGCTGCGCGTCGAACACACGCCACCCCCTTTGCCCCATCCTCGCAACCACCGAGCTTTGTGTCGGTATTACACGTACCGAGCCACCAAGGGGAAAATCTATAAGAGCCGCGACTGCGCCCTCCGTACGCTCCAGAGAATTTCCGCGCTTAAGCCTCCTTCAGCTTCGCGAACTTAATCACCGTGCAACTATGTCCTGTACAGCTATTAGGATTCTTGTATGATCGAAATCCATCGATGACGCAGATTAAACGATCAACCAACGTTTCAGCAACACACAAATTCCATATATCGTGACGAGATGATCTTTTGTAGATTAACTTCTTTAAAAAGTAAAAGATTCTTGTGTCATAAAACGTAACTGATATAGAGGAGGAAATCCAAACGATTTACCGAGGATAAATCAATGTCGACAATTGAGAACACGTGACGGTTTATAATTCATGATTTGCATATGAAATTTAGATACTCGTATAAAATGCTACTAAGGAGTTTCAATGTACCGCATTTATATTCAAACGTTGAGTATAATGTAAACTGAATTGGGGATTTAATAGTTACTTTTTCTGAAAGCTCGAGGCTAAAATAAAAATGAGATTTTGTTTTTTAAATTTCGTCCTGTTAAAGTTAATAGAAAAAGTATGCAATCTAGTAATGTATGAATTTAAAATTCAAAATTCGAAATTAGAATAAAATTTGTTACATTCGATACGTAAAAGTCGAGCAAATGTGTACAACCAATGTTGTTTTCCTGCGTTGAAAACAGTAGAATATTAAAATATGAAAAGCAGATAATACTTCTATTGTTGCTATTATATATATTAAATGTTGTATATACTTATACACGAAGTGAAAATAGTAAAATGTTCATGTCAATTTTATTATCACACTGTATGCGCATTGAAAGATTCTAGATATGTAATTAATTACTTTCCTTTACCAAATCTATCAAAATATCAAGATTAATGCTAATAGATTAAATATTTATTATTTCTTGCATATCTTCAAAACTTTTTACATAACATTTTGCGTTAAAAATTCCGATATTACTTTTTAACTTATTATACTGTTTATTTACAAGAAGTATTTCCATTTGTCTCTCTATATCAAACACATAAATATTACACGCATTAAATTTTAACAAATATTTAATTGATTAACTGATAAATTTTATAAATTTAACACTTTACTTACAGGTAAATACAATGCTCATAAGAAGTTATACTATTTTATTTATGTATACATATATACGTATACGTTCAAAAAGCGCGCCATATTGGATGCAGTAATGAAATATTTTTATGCTGGTTTATATACAATATAAGACAAGCAATTGTATTAGAAAAAATAATATTCATTTAACAGTAAATAATTAGTTGTTAGTCTTATCATCATTGTAATTTAGAAAAGATATTTATGTAACTATAAATTACTTCCATTTTAAAATAACAAAAAGATAATGAAAAAATACTATGCTTCGTAATAACTTTTATAGAAATATTTTTACAATAAAATATAATAATATTTATATTCTTCTAATTTTTCTCTTATAAAAAATAAAAATAAAAATTCATGAAATTTTGGAATTAAATATATTATTTTAAAAACATTAATTAATAGTTTGAAAAAACTATATGTAGATAAATATACATTCCTAAAGAAATTTGGAAAATCGAAAAAAGAAATTACTTGTTTGCTTCTCCTAGTAACATAATTTATAATCAGTCTACAAATTAAGTTCATTTCACTTATAAATGTTCACTTATATCGATGTTTTTAAGTATAATATTAAATAAAATATTTTATTCGTCTTTTGCATATGTGTATAACATCAATTTTAATATTCCTAGGGTTTTTAGGAATTTTATGTACAAAAATTTTTTAAAAATGATCTCTATATATCCTCATATATGACTAATATCACAAACGAAATAATATATAAAAAATAGTTTGATTATAAAACTATTGCAATATAATGAATATTAAAATAGTTATTAATATTTATTCCTGACCATTTAAATTTTGGGGGAAACTAAAATTTTGAACTATACACTAGTCGATTGTTTTCGGAACGCCATGATCGCCATTGCTCGTCCCGCGATAAAATTTTACTTGGCATAGAATAGTGCGATGAAATAAAGAAGAGATTATGTAAAAGTCTTACACAAACAAAGCATACGCATAAGAAAAATATTTGAAAAAGTAATACTATATTACAGTGATATATATATCTATATTTATATATATATATATACACATATATATGTAGATTCATATAGATACATATATATATCTATGTATATACCTTTGTAAATGGTAAGAAATTTATTTTTGTGAATATTACGGTGTAGGTAAAATGTTCATGATAAACCATAAGGGTACAATAACAGTGAAATATTTAGTGAAATATTTGGTTTAATTTCATTTCTTTATTGATCTTGTGTATGCTTTGGTTACATCATAAAATCAGTTATCAATATCAAATACGTCAGTAACGTTTTAGTCCAAGTGTCATTTGTCTTGCTGATCCAAAAACTGAACATTTACATTTAAATATTGCTAGAAGAATGGGTAAGATTTTATTTTTATATTGTATTTTATTGTTGCACGTTTTCATATTTTGCTACAAAATATCGTAATTTCGTTAAAAATCAATTTTATATAAAAAAATGTAATATTATAAATGTAACAATAACCATTATTATATATTTATTCCTTTATAAAAATTAAACTAAAATATTAAAGTTAACAATAAGTGTATTATAGAAAATTCAGATGCAGTTACAATTGAAGGAGAAAACTATCAAGTAGTAGATGAATGTATTGAAGAAGAGGATACAGTTAATAGTGCGCAACATAAATGTATGATAAATGTAGATGTAAGAAACGAATCTATAGATGTTAATATAGGACATAATAAGAATATAAATATGAAAAAGAATGAAGATAAAAACATAGAAATGAATGAAAATATAACAAGAAAAAAGAATGAAGACACAAATATAAAAATTAATGAAGTTATATCTATAAAGAAGAATGAAGATACAAACATAGAAATTAATGAAGACATAACTATAAAGAAGAATGAAGATACAAATATAGAAATTAATGAAAATATAACTACGGAGAAGAATGAAGGTACAAACATAGAAAAAAATAAAGATATAAATCTGAAGAAGAATGAAAGTATAAACATAGAAGGAAATAAAAATATAAATATGGAGAAGAATGAAGAAGTTCCAGTTACAAATTTAACAGACGCTGTATTATCAGATAATTCAAATTTCAGTAATGATCAAAATAATACATCAAATACAGAAAATAAATGTCTGGAACAATCAAATATGGAGTCAATTGACTTTACTGCTGATATTTCTTTAGAGCAATTAGATGAACAAAAAGATATAACAGATGAAGATGTCTTACATCATTTAGATGAAATTGAAAATATAGTTTTAGATTCTACAGATTTCCAATTACAAGAAAATACTTTAGTAGAAGAAAACACAGAAAATCAATTTCCCAATTCAAAAGATGAATTTGTTATAAAATGTGAAATTCCTAAAGACATTAATACTAATACAGAAATATTACATACTGTCGATAAAGATAATAAACAGCAAATAAAAGTGGAGAAATCTAAAATGGATGATTGGTACACACAAAAGGTAATATATAGATCATAATATGAATAAATGAATAAATAACATGTATAATTCATCCTTTATAATTGTCACTTCAATTTTAAAATCTTCTTTAGCTTCTCGGAAAAGAGACTATCATAAAAGAACGACTTTCAAAAGTAGCAAGAGTTTTAGCAATTTCATATCCATGTTATGAAAAATGGTTAGAATATGAAGAAAAAGTAAATGGATCTCCTCTTTGTAAGTTAAAGCCGCCTCGACGCTGTTGCTTAGATAAACCATATACTAACCGTTGGAAGTTCATCTGTAAGTATTCGCAAATTCAATTGTCATTATTTGTATTAAGACTTTTAAAATATTGCATTTATATCATCAATTTCATGGAAGGTATTTCAGTAATATTTATAAAATAATTTGTAAATTACATTTTGTATAAATTACAATCAGTCAAATACATATCTTACAAACTTTTAAAATTAATTTTTTTCAAAACGAAATGAAAACAGTAAATTATTTTTTTGAAGATTCCAAAAAGTTTACAATTTTGGTAATTTAAGAATGATGACATGTTTTATTATTATTTTACTGAATTTATGTTCTTATCTATTCATTATTAACATTGGAACTACTGACTTGTAATACTTATATACCTACATGTAATATGCAGTATTGATGATACTTAAAATGTTATAATGAAAATGAAGAAATATACGTGATTACTAGTGAAAAATCAGCATTGATTATATCAAAAACAGCTGCATGTTTCTTGCAAACTAAAAACTCTAAAACAGAACATTTTGACACTGTTGGTAGTTCTGGTGTTAAATCATATTTATCACTTACATGATACAATTTTGTATATTTCATATTCTGATATAAATTTTGTTTCTTGTGAGAAACTGCATTAGTATTATTTAAACATGATTCACGTTTATAAATATTTTCTTGATTAGATTTTAATATGTTGACAAGAACAACTAGTAGTCCTGTAATGTGTAATCTAAAGAATATTCAAAATTTGCATATTGTTTTTATATTGTTTCATTGAATTTTGTTAATTTGTATAACTTTCATATAGTGATAATAAATTTAAATGTTCCATATGTTATCTCTGAATTTATGTTATGTAACAGCTTCTATTTTTAATTTTTTTTAGTAATTTTCCACTATATATACTGTAAAGAATTAATAATTGAAATCACTAATGTTTTTGAAGTATCTGGTAGTAATAATTACATAGTAATAAATATAAGTAGGAAGTTGTATAAGAAATGATATAAAAGAAATAACATTATGAAGTTATTTCATATATTGCCAGTATTAATTACTATATATTACCTAATAAAATATCACAATTTTGACATGACATTTGCTATTTAGTAAATTTACTTTTATATTTCATGAAAGGAAAACTTTATTTTATATAAATAGTTAAGTAATTACGAGTATACATTTTAAAAAGATTTAAATCCAAAAATGTATTCTCTTTCTAAAGCCAATCAAATTATGTTTTAAATATTTTTCATATAACTGAAAATAATGGAGATATTTCAACAGTTTCCTTCATCTACAACATATTCTATAAATAATAAAATGAAATAAATACATTCTAAAATATTTATTATTTATTTGTTTATAATTATAGTAGAAAAAATATGTATTATAGAAATAATGTAAACGAAAGAATATAGGTACTGTAAAAAATATATATAATAATTTTATATGTAGAACAAAATAATTAAATTTATATGTATGTTGCCTATTTTATCTGGACATGATGGAATATGTCATAAAGATCTGACAGAATAACAAGCAAATATTCTTTTAAAAGTTATTTATGTAATGAGAAGCATAATATATTGTAAATAACTTCCTCATAAGAGAAGATTTCAAGGTCAAGTACACTTTTTGGTATAAGACTTTATATTTTTTTATTCATTCAACAATCTGCCATATAAAGTCATTTAGTTTCATAAAAAATTATGAACTCATCAAGACTTAGGGAGTCAAGTCAACATTGCAAATGTTCATGTATTGTAAAACTAAATCTTAGTTGATTATGCTACAAACCAGTCTACTTGGTTGTTGGAAAAAATCACTTTATGAAAAAGTAAATAATATAACAATTTTCCTGATTCTTAACAATGCCAATTTGATGAGAAACTTCATAACATACTCTTCTATATCAAACCACCTTTATAAAAACATTTCTTTTTTTTTTTTATTCCTTCAGTTCCTTATGATATATTTCATTGTGTCCAGATAAAACAGACATTCTGTATGTTTAGGCAACAGAAAGATGGTACGTGACTCCATAACAAGAATGAACAATTCTGATTCCTCTTTTAACAAAAATAGAGGAGTAGTTTGGAAAGTAGAAGCCAGTGGAACTTGGGCTACAAATATAAATAATGAATCTCAGTTTCCATCCTTTGTACTACGTGCTGTAAAAGTATGTTTAATATTATTTTAGAAATATTTTTCTTACTTTTAAAAATCAGATGTATATTTAAATATTGTCAATATTTGTGAGTTTAATAAAACCTGAATAGTAAAATAGATACTTGTCATGTACATTTACAGTATAATAATAAATTTATGCACATTTATAATAATTATATAAATTTATATTTGTAACATAATAAAATTAAGTAAACATAATTTAATATATAGGATAATTAAAATATAAATTTTCATTTTCTGATAGAAAGGTATACATTAATATAATGGAAAATTATTTTAACATTTTGCAGTTATTTTAAAAATAACACAAAACAGAATAAAAATATCTATGTTTATTAATTTATAATTTACAACTTCTTTATACAGATATTTGAAGACTTTCTTCAAACAACAGAACAATTGACTTCAAACAATTCCATGGATGAAAATTTCTCTGATGATGTATCTATAGATATAGAATTAAAAAAAGACATAAATAATGAAGGAAAACAAAATTGGTTATGGCTGGTAGTACGTTGTAATAGTATGGATGAGCTTATGTTATTTGCAACTGGAGAAAACATTAGTCGTTCTACAATGGATAGATTGAAGCAAGTTTATGAATCTGGACCTGGAAAAGATTGCAATGTCAAATCTCTATACTGCAAGTCTACAAATAAGTAAGAATATTGTATAAAATTAATTGTATTTAATTTGTGTAATTTTATGTAGATAAACTACATAACTGTAATCCTTTCGACCTGATGTAAACGTACCATGATTTTTACATGCTTTATTTTCTTTTCTATTGGTGAAATTTCAACAATGAAATTGTCTTTTTTGTAATCTTAATATATTTTCTGATGCTAAAGTTATTCTTAATTCTATAAATGAATTATATTTCACTAGAGTTGTTTTATTAGTCATATGTGAAATTATAGATTATCTATTTTGCTGTTTTTATTATGATTATATATTATCATAGTATTCATTACTATTATATTCAAGAGTCGATAGTTTATTAAAATGTTTTGAAAATACGTGTAAAAAATACAAGAACATAATGCATAGGTTGTCTAGATATAACAATGAAATAACTTTTATCCAAAATATGTATCATAAATGAATATAATGATGAAAATTTGTAAATTCAAATGAGGACGTATGATATGGTCCGTCAGGTTGGAGGAATTAATTAAAGAAATAAATAATACATCTTTCTTTCACTTTTTTTAATATTAGGTACAACGATACTACTGTCACAGATACAACATTTTTAGTAGGATCAGAAGCTTTGGATGAAATTGTTGGGGGATTAAAGGTGCAACTCGCACCTAAAACAAATTTTTGGTCTAATACTGCAGGAGCAGAAAATGTAGCAAATGCAGTAATAGATTTACTTGCACCTACTCGAAAAATAACAGTACTTGAAATAGGATGTGGTATTGGTTTTATCGGATTAATGATGGCATCTGTAAATAAAAAGATATACATGTATATATATATATATTCACTATCGATCATTACATTTTTATTCTTAATCTTGTGACTTAATTTTAGAAATGTCAACATGTCATAGGAGTGGATTCTCCATCAGAAGTTGAAGAAGCTGAAATGACATGCGAATTAAATAACATAAAAAATGCTTCCTTTATAATGGGATCTCCTGC